TCCAGTGGGGGCAGAGGGGAGGGGGAAGCAATCGAACTCTGGTTCAGACCAGGCAAGCAAACCAAGTGTGAACGCACCCTAAATGTCTTCCCTCTCATTTTTGATCAATTTACTGCAGCCTCACTGAATCAAAATATTAATTTATTTAAAGAAAATCTTACTAACTCCAAACTTTTGACTGGTAGTGTATACATTTTTAGGAATTCTAAATTACATTTGAATTTTTTTTAATATTTAAAAGAAAAAAACCATTCTTACAGATATGATACCAGCAGCATTGGGGTCTCTCAGCTGATGCACAAGCCCACCACTGTTGGCATCATAAATGTCAATAGTTCTCTTGTCATTGATTAATACTTGATCATCTGGGTAACGGCCAGCCACGATGAGGTCATACATGGGATGCCAGGTTGCCTGATGGAAGAAATTTTGCAAAACTAAACTCTAGGACATCAATAGTCCTGCATCTCTGAGATGCCTGTAAACTTGATTACATCAACATAAACAACATGGGGAAAAAAGCCAAGCAAGTGAAACTTGCAGTTTAGGCTAAAGGAACTCTTACCTTGATGGGTGTTAAGTGCTGGAACTGTCGATGAGGATGAACAATTATTTGATGAGGTTTAGACCAGTCATATGAACAATATACCCTGATCTGGTTCCTCTGGTCTGTAGTCAGGAGCTTGGTGCTGTCTGTTGGATTAAAGTACGCTGAAAGAAAAAGAACATTAATTTCAATTAATTTGCACTGTACAGTTGAGAGACATTTATTACTTCTTCCCCTCCTCAATTTAATAATCATATATATAGTCTCTTACCAGAATTGACTGGTTTTTCATGAGGCAATACAGTGATATAACTGCTTTTGTCTTTAATGTTTCTGAGGTCCCACAGCTTGACTGTAGCATCAACAGAGGATGTAGCCATCAGCCAATCACAACGAGGGTTGAATTCTGCATGGGTCACTTTGGCTTTGTGCAGCTTCTCTTTGAAAATCTAAATGTTTTTGAAAATACGAATATCAGACAGCTTTATTCTTGATTTTGGCAATGAGAATTGATTTAGATATTCCCTCTCATACCTCATGTCCATCAAGGCCAAACAGAAGTAGTCGTCCAGTATTGTCTCCAGTCACAAGCATCTGACGACTAACAGACACGTCCACACAGCAGTACCAGTAACTGGGAGAGTGACATTTGTGGCATTAAAACTATATATACAAACATATCTTAACATAACATCCAATTTATACCTAATAATGGTAGTGAAAGGGCTTTAAAAAGTGAAAGACCGTGATCACATATTTTCAAAGAAGCAGAAACTTACTGAAAGACAAATGTGGCAAACAATCTCAGACAAATCAACAATCAATCTATACTACATGCTGAAAGGCAATTGTTCTTAAAGGAACAGCAATACGGAATACTGAACATAAACATGAAATATATAACCACCAAAAAAGTATCTCCGATTTCCCGACACTGGAGAGCAATTCACAAAAGAGTTCAAACAAGCACTGTCCTCAACCAAAGATCATGGTGGTCATGGCCACAATCTGGGGTTCGAGACAATATCTGACTTTGGAGGCCCTCAAAACTCTGCACGCTGACTGTGCCATCACCAGAAGCAACAAAGATTTCGGACACATCTGTGGGGCAGAACTTCATCCCCCCTATAAAATCACCAGCTCCAGGACTAAAGCTCCCTTGGCACAACAGACAAACACAAGCTTGTTAGATCTACACATAGCTGTCAAACCAAGTACTGTCATGAGAAGGGAGGACTCAATGGTCAGGGAGGACTGTGGGTTCAACATGATTACAAATTAATACAGCAACTAAACCGACCCAACAACATGAAGGAGATGAAGACAAACAATGTTCTTCAACACAGTCATAAACACCAGCATTCACAATTACATACCACAAATAGTGAAGGACAACATTACTGACAAAATGGATTTATCTCAGATAACCTAAAATCTAATAGCTTAGCAACAGAACATTAAGTTTCATTAAAAGCAACATAATCAATGACATGAGCATACTGTCACACATAGCATAACTAACTGCAAAAAACAATCAAATGATTTCATCCTCTGATCTATCACAGGGTTTATCCAACTTCATACCAATCAAAATATATGCAAATACATTCAATGCCCACTTTATCTATGACCTGGAACTGAATTTTATAACTTTGTTAACACTGAAACTGTTAAACTTCAAACACAGGCAAGTTCTTCCATATTTAAGAGCCAACGGAATCAAACACTGATAACTCATGTTGAACTCGCACATTTATTATACTGTAATTCAGCTGAATGAACAGAAGTGCCCAACAACAGGACAGAAGTATCAGGTCAACTTCAAGTTCTATTTAAAAGTATTTTAAATCTCGGTGTGGTCTATGTTTCTTTGAGAGCAAATGGGAGAACTATCATAACTGCTAATAAAGGAACTCGCTTACTCCCATGAATCTGTTTTGGCAAAGACTTGTACAACCGATCCACTGAAATCCCGAAGGGTGGTAGCACCCCAAATAGATGAGATGAACAGCTGATTGGTATTGAATTGGTTAAACTTCATGCCTGTTATTGCGTCTCCAGGTCCCATCTGGAAGAACAGAGGAGAAAATCTCAGCAGTTGCTAAAATTGCATCTTTGATCTATTGAAATCTGAGCAAATGCTAAAATGTACTTTTACACTCTCAGAAAAAGGTACAAAGATGTCACAGTGACAGTACATCTTTGTACCTTACTTACCCCTAAATAGTACATATTAGTACCCAAAGTGAACATATTTGTAACGTTTGAAAGGTCCCCAGTGACAGTTTTGTACTTTTTTTCTGTGAGTGTACAGTACTACATTTAATGGTATATAGACTATTTATTAGCTATTTATGCATTTATATTGAATTTTTTATTTCAAGTGAGTTAACCATTTATATCAGTAAACTACCCTGCAGAGGAACACAGTATAAATTTCACAATAATTTGATGGAATAATTTACGGAAACCCCAAAAGTATTTGGACACTTAAAATGTATGTCATTGCATAATTACATTTCAAACCATGATGCATCAGCGAACAAATTATTCTAAACATTTTCTCAGAAGTAACTTCACTTTCTTGAGTCATGTTTACAATTTCTAGAAAGTGAAAGGGTCCAGATTTCTAGTAACTACAAAGTGTCCAAATATTTTTTTATCTTCATTTTGAACATTATATTCTTCACTTCAATCGGGCTTTATCTCACCCCCTGTATGAAGGTTCTCTTATTCAGCATATCATAATCCCACAGGATGATGTCTCCACCCTTGGAGCCCACTGCAACAGTGGTGGGATGGGTGGGATGCCATTCCAGACAAGTGACCCTCCGATCGAAGGGGCTGGCTGTGCGGTGAAGTTTGTAGGCTCTAAGTGAGCGTATAAAAGGCTCTTGCAGACACTATAAACCAATGGGGAGTGTTACATACTACTGTAATATTTGTAGAAAACTTACACCAGTTTTCTATAGTTCACAAGTACATTATATACAGTGGTGGCCAAAATTACTAGAACACTAGTATTTTCACCAGCTAAAAATGGTAATTTAAATTTTTTGCTGTAGTGTGTCAGTAGGAAATATCAGTTTACATTTCCAAACATTCATTTTGCCATTAATTGTAATAATCCAGTGAGATTTTTGTTTGAGAACAGTCAGTGCTCCACACAGAGATCTGATTTCACCATCATCAGTCTGTCTGGAATGACATGAAGAAACAGAACAAACTGAGACAGACTAAATCCAGAAGAACTGTGGCAACATCTCCAAGATGCTTCAAGAAACCTACCAAAGCTACAGTACTGTTAAAAGTTTTAGACACTTGTGTAAAAATGCTGTAAAATGAGGAGGCTGTCAAAAAGAATGTCATAAATAGATTTTCTTTATCAATTAACTTTATGAACTAAATTAAATTAACATTTGCTGTGACCATCCTTTGCGTTTATAGCAGCTTTTGCCCTAGGTGCACTTGCGCATAGTTTTGCAGGTAGGTTGAGCTCCAATCCATTTGACACTTGCTTGTATGTAGGTTTCTGTTACATTACACAAATACAGTTTAGCTCATTAGACAATTTTGGTTAGTCCTGTAAACAAGTTGTTTTTCATCCATAAATTAAACTCTTTGCATATTTAAAGACAATTGTGCAATTATTCATTATTCGCAGCTTTGCTTACCAGTTTTTTGTGCTGCCTTGCCTTCTTTTTTGGCTTTCAGCTTCTTGGAGAGTGTTTCAGCTTGTTCTTCATTCGGTCTTTTCTTTGAATTGACTTTCTTCGTCTGCTTCGATGCAGAGGAATCTGTCTGAGCCCTTCCTCGCGCCATTAAAAGTCTACTTTCTCTTTGAAAGAGGTCGACAAAGACATTGCATGTCAAATATATCACTGTTGCAAATTGTAGATACAATCCGATCGACTAGAATCATGCACTTACTTTCTTACCTGCAGATGTACAACGATCTACATTACATTCACCATCAGATCGGGAAATCGGGTCACAGATCAACACCGCTACACGTGCACAGACACGCATTTAGGCTACATTCAGTGACGCAAGAAACCGAATGTTTTGTAACGTTACACGCAATACAGAATGTATCCACTAGAGATGCCACTAAATGCTGGCACGTATCCACATACTTTCAGCAAATCGTGTACACGTTTTTTATTTAAAATAAATTATGACTGCGATTTAGTTCATTTCTGATTTAAATATTTTCAATTTTTTTAAAGATATGAAAATATACTGCAGTAGAAATATTCATAAATTCCCGGCACCTTCGCTGTTTAGTGTACAAAAATATTGCCTGAAAACTCAATTGCAATTGCTTACTTTCATAAATGTTAATTGCAGCCTCAGTTCAAACTAATAATACGAGCATAATATAATACTATGTAATTATAATTGAGATATAATATTTAGAATTGAATTGAATTGAATACAATATATTGCATTCATGTTTAGTCTTAGAGTTTGGGGGCATGCACATATTAAAACAAACACAATCTTTAGATATAATAGTTTACAATAATAATAAAAAAAAAAATATATATATATATAAAACAACAACAAAAAACAGATACTACAAACATCTGTAAAACAATACCACTTCTTTGATGGGCGTCGCGTTGTGCTTGTAGTGGGTGAATTCAGCGTCTTGGATACGGTGCGTTCATGAGAGTATGCTGGCCAATCACAGAAGCCCAGGGACCTACAGCTGAAGGGAAGGGAAAAAATCAAACATTCAGTGTATGTTGTTTATTCAGTTCATACACTAAACGTCGAAAGCACATATACATCTGAAGGTAAGTGTGCCAACGAACAGACTTGAGATGCATATCTATGTGACTAAAATAAAAGATGAGGTTTTAATAAGTAGTAGGTATTTAGGCATTGTATGAGGTGTATCATTGAGTTGCAGTCAGTTTTACAACCGTTGTGTAGGACAAATAATTAATTCAAGAATTTTGCCTGGCGTTTTCAGTGCGAATTTGTCATCATGAGTGATGATCTTCACTTGAAACAGTTTTTGTGCTTTGGTGTGTGACGGTCTAGAAGCGTTCCCACATTTTTGCTGTACACTAATCAAACCAATAATCACAATCAGTATTTGAAATGCATATGCTAAAAAACAATCACTGCTTTGAGTAAATGTACTGAAGTGGTTGGATTCACTAGTTAAACATTTTCTTCCACACATAAACCTGTATGCTTTAACTTTTTGTTCAGTGTGTTCTAGTACACTCTAGTCGCCAAAGGCAACAAAATGTACCTTATTGTTCACTATTTAATGATATTGCCCAGTGCAAGTTGAGTTACCTTTACTTGTTATCTTCTCAATGTAAGTATTTTTGTGCTTTTTGCACATAACAACAATTAGAACACAATATGAGGTGTATTTATATGCAGGTATTCTATGGAATACATTTTTCCCCACAATATGAGCTCTGATACACCACCAGTCATGTTATCTTTAGTATTTAACACATCCCTCTATTGTCTGTTGGACAATGATTAATCTATTGAAGATTTTACTACTTAACAATAAAAGTGTCAAGTTACTGTACAGTATATCCAACCCTGTCTATTGCACTGCTGCTCATAACAGCTTTGTGAAAGGCTGTTGTAGACATTTAGTTTCTCCATCTCCAGTGTTTTGTTGAACAACAACACATTCTTACATTTTAATTAGTTTTCATGTGTTTTTCCACATGGACAGCTTTATGTTTAAGATTTGTTGATTTAAAACATAATATTGAATTTGTTAACTCCCATAGGCACACTTAGGGAGGGGTTTTATAGAAAGATCCTGAGTTGGTGACTGGACTGTGAGATATTATAATAAAGAAGAACACTAAAGAGAAAAAGTCCAAAGCAATCACAGGGAATCAAGAAACTCTGTAGATGGCTGATGGTCTCTCCACCTTGTAATTGCTGGACCCTCCTCTACTATGCTCAGTCTCATCAAGCTACCTCAAGTGTTCACCATCAACCAAGTTCCAAAAGTAAGTTTTTTTTTTAATGCTGATGTTAATTTGCAAGAAATGTCATTGTTTTGCACTCAATGTGTTGTATACTTATCATGTCAGTCATGAACTTTTAAAGCAGATACATTGTACATTAGATACATAATTGATAAATAAATACGATATTTGTTTCATTGTAGGTCTTCCATGAAGATGGCATCATTTCAGGTTATCGCCACCCATGCAGCTCTGCCAAAGACTGTGTTCTTAGTCTTTTCCAGCTAACGAATGAAACCCTCAATATTTGGACTCATTTTCTGCCTACATGGTAAATTATTTGTCAGCATTCAGCTTTTGATACATGTACATTAGCTAATGTTAAAATGAAGACAAATTTGAGAATGTCATTTAAGCTTCCTACAAGATTAACTTAATTAATACAATGTTAAATTATTTTTAAAGACTGAACTCCAGATTACTCATGTACAGTAAAACATTAGACATTGCTGAAAATGTCAATATGTCATAGAGCCTTTTGCAAGGTCAACTTAATTGTTGCCACATTCATTTATACTATTTATAGGGTGCTGAAAACTTATATTTACAAATATTAAAAATATAAAATACTTTTTATTGCAAGAGCATTGATACCTCTGTTACACTGCAGCTTTTGATGCATGCTTGCATTTTTAGAATGTAATGTTTTTTTTGCGCAAGGTTTTTCTTATGGAAACTGACAGTAGTACTAGTGCAGGATGACTGGCAGGATCCTTTCACCTGGCCCTTGCTGGTGTTCCTTCTGTCATGCTGCGTGTATCCACTCGCTTCCAGCTGTGCTCATACCTTCAGTACCATGTCAGAGAGGGCCAGGCACATCTGCTTCTTCTTTGATTATGGAGCACTCAGCTTCTACAGCCTCGGTATGTAGAGAATATAACAGAACTAATGAGTAAATTTATATACTTATGTAATGTTTTTGTGACTGAATTATCCTAACTTTTTGTTTATTTGTGTATTTGATCGACCACAGGTTCTGCCATCACCTACTCTTCTTACTCATTTCCAGATAAATGGGTCAATAGCACATTTCACAAATACTATGTTCCTATAGCTGTTGTCAATTCTATTATCTCCACTGCACTGGCCTGCTACTCAAGGTAGGATAAGTAATCAATAAATCAAAAATTGGTAATATTTCTAACCTGCTTTGTGGATTTTGACCTGAGTGGTATTAAAATAGAAAAACAATTAAAAGACTAAACACTTGTATTTCTTTGTTTTTAGACTTGGTTTACCATTATTTCAGTATAATCATCACAGCATTAAAAGGTAATGTCTCTTGCATTTTAATCTTGACATTAAAAAATGGTACATTTTCAGTAAATGAACTGTATTCTCTTTTAGTTGTTCTGGAAAATTAGATCAGAAACTCAGTAAATGTCTACAGATAATCGCCTTTGTCTATCCATATCTCTTTGACAACATCCCTCTCTTTTATAGAGTGAGTGTTTTGGGTTATTTTGCTAAATATTTTACTCATTGTTTTGGCTGTGTTTGTATTGAATGTGACACTGAGCAAAGTTAATTAATTTAAAGTACTTTCTGCCTTCATTTATAGATCTTTGTGTGCGCTGGTGAGGGTTGCACTGTTAATGAAGCCAATACTGTTCACTATCAGCACACGTCATTGGCTGTCCTCACTGGCTTTCTTTTTGCCACACACCTGCCTGAACGCTTGGCTCCTGGCAGTTTTGACTACATAGGTACATCTACAGATCCCTGCATTCTCTTTAAACTAAGAATCATGAATTCAGAACATATGGCACTAGTGGGATGCTTTTGAAGCTCAGTAAAGTCTACTCATTCTAAACTGTGGTTCATTTATGCATCCTTCACAGGTCACAGTCATCAGCTCTTCCACGTGTTCGCTATTATTGGCACGTATTTCCAGATGACTGCCATGGAACTTGACATGGCTGCACGAAAGCAGTGGCTTCATGCTCATTTGCCACCAGTCACCCTTTCAGACACTGTGGGAGCTGCATTCTTTAGTGTGGTCTGCGGCCTTTGTATAGTATATGGCTTAAGTCTGGCACTTTTCTCCACTAGAGGTGTAAAGGACAAATTCATTTGAATTGTGACATTTGATAAGGTTACTCAGGGCAGCTAAGTTAGTTTCCCTTAAAACGGAGTATATTGTATATATTGTAGCCATGTGTTCAATGGCAACAATTTCATGAAGATTTTATGTAAATTGGAAGAGTATAAGACTGTATAATTGGATTATTTTGTATGTTTGATTCATGTTTTTGTAATGAGTGTGTCATTTGTTTTCTCTACTTCTAATCATGCTTAACATTTGCACAATTTCAAAGCACATTTCCATGTTTTTGAAGCACATGAATCAAACTATATTATCATCGTTTTTACAAGTGCCTTTTTATAATCAGTCTTTTTGAAAACTGTAAAACCTTGTGTACAATCTTTATCTGTCTTATAAATAAATCTTGTTAATATGTAAATTTTTGTTATTTTTACTAAATAAAACTATGCAATGAAAACTATTTGATAGCTTTTATATATTTTTATAGAATATAACGTAGATTATATTAGTTTAGCCTATGGGACATTCTACCAGAAAGGTACATTTCCACTTGTAAAAATCTTGGGTGAAAAAAATATCTTATTTTAAAATCTGAACGTTGAGTCATATGGAGGACATGTTAATCTATATGAAACGCATATGCCATCTCAGCATGTTTTTATGATTGAAATAAATACATTTTATACGCATTTCACCCCTAAAATGTCAGGCCCTGTCACAGACAAATTTGTATATGTTTAGGTTTCCTAATGAATTGTTTTGATAGAAATAGCATTTTCTTATTGGTCACATGCCCCTGATTGTATCTAACACAGTTTTGTAATTTCTATAAGAAATATAAGCAACTTTTCGGTCAACTGTAGTACACAAAATCACAGAATACCCCGCCAGGCACTCATATAGTTGCAAAAAACTGCCTTGACATAGGAGATTTTTTTCAAAAACATAGTAGTGGATATATACTCCAACCTTCATCTACACAGTTACAGAGATTAATTCATCAATATTACCTCAAATATTACATTTTTATAACATAATTTCCTGTGTGACAGGACTGACCGAGGCGTGACAGGACTGACTATGGATTTCGTTGATGCAGAAAAAGTTGTTTTCTGTTCTTTATTTAAGTTTTGATAAGCATTCCTATTTTAAATTATTATTGTAATTTTAATGTTAATGTGATATTAGACTATGGTAAAGTTCAGCCAAGGACATATAATAAGGGCCTAATTCATTAGAATAGAATACTAATTTTATTTTATTTCAAAATAAAAACATATTTCTTTAAAAAATTTATTAAAATTCCATTTAACAATAACATGGCCATATACAATAAAAATAAACAACTAGAATTGCACAATGGCACAAACACAGACAGGAGTGAAAACAAAATTGTAATGGTACTACTACTATGTTCAAATTTATTTAACAATAACAATTACCAACTTAAATAGCACAAACTCAGACAGGAGTGAAAACAATAACCCTGTGATGTGCTTCGTGTACACGGGTGTAAGAAATATAAATATAACTTCATAATATATAAAGTATATTTTACTATGATACAGCAAAATATAGATGACAATTACATCTATATATGAAGAGTTTATTTGCAAAAACAGATAACTAAAAAAAAATTCAAAAATCATGTTTTTTTATTATGTAATCATGTTTTTATTGTGTTAGTTGTAATTATTAGTTATTTTTTAACCTAATCAAAATAACCCAACTAAAGTTTGATTGAGATTAATTGGAATGCACAATAAAAAAACATGATTTCAGAGAATGAGTTATCTGTTTTTGCAAATAAACTCTTCATATATAGATGTAATTGTCATCTATATAAGCTTTGAGTAATGATGATTGTAATTATTTCACTCAACATTTAACCCAACCGCTGGGTCAAAACAGCCCAATTGCTGGGTTTGTCCCTATTTTACCCAGCATTTTTTAGAGTGTAATATCTACATTATTACCTAGGAAATTACATGCAATTTCCGTTATTACCATGTAATTTCCTAAGTAATAATGCAGATATTACCATTAAAGTAAAATAGTATCATTTCATGTTTTTAATCAGTTGATGTGAATAACAACTTAAACTTGTTATTGATGGAGTTTTTGTCTAAATAACAGTTTTTAGCATAACAAAACTATGAAAGCTGTAGGTCAAATTTGGCTGAGGACAAGGACAGGATTTGTAAGTGTTTTTAATAATTTAAAAAATATCTGAGAACCTAATGAATGATATATTCCTTTACAGAACAACTCACAGAAACCAACCATCAGTCAGTTTTAGACATTTTTTGGATGTAATACTTTTTATTCACTGTAACAAGTCAAGGACAGATAATGTACATTTCTGGTAGAATGTCCCCTATACAATATACGCTATATACATTTTTTGGTATTAATACATTTATATATTAACCGTTAATACAATATATTCTATATACTATTTTTATATTAATACTTTTATATATGAACTATTAGACAAAACTAGACATTAGTTGCTTGTCGGCAGAAAAGCTTTGCATGTTGTTTTTCCTTGTTTATTTCAGTGTGTCGATTCTGGATACAACCGGAAATTGTCACCAGCATATCAGGCTGAGCTTAGGGCGGGACATCCGGTCATCTAAGACGTGGCTGCGCTCGCTGATTGGTCACATTTGAAAATCAGTTTCTGACGCAGTGGAGGGAACGTTTGTAATTCGGTATTTGTATACGGACAAGAAGGCAACGGCGTCGCGGAATTAAACTACAACATCGCAACATGATTAGGCAAGCGTAAGTGTTTTATACCTGTTTTGTACTGTTGATATATTAGACCGATAACGAGTTATTAAACGTCCTTTATTAACTCATAAGCGAGTTTGTTTTCATATGAAAGTCTTTGAGTGGTTGTAGCAGACATTTCTTAACTTACTCGCCGCCCGTCGCGTCTATTTAACGTTATTGATCCATTGTTTGTACTTTATGCTCAGTTCATAATCCCGCTTTATGTTGTAAGTTTTCTGTTTATATCAGTAGTTTAATTATATGTTTGCCAATTATTATTATTATTAAAAAACGATATGCACCAAGCGCTTGGTTTCCTAAATGTCAGTGTTTCAATTCAGATATTAACTTAGTTAAGTAATGAGCTGGTCGCGTTTTCCTATTGGAACTCCTAAAACATAGTTTGTAGGTAACGTTAACCTTAGTTAGAATTTTCTTTCAACCATAAGCATACTCGTTTTACTTGAACCATATAACGTTATATTTGTTGCTTGGTGTCTGTTTTTTTGCTTTTGTAACAGGAAGGGCAAGACCCCCCGCCGCCCCCCTCCAAAAAAGCCTTCCAACAACCAGAAGGACCCTGTTGGAGTATGCTGTAACTTTTTGTTCACATTAGGATAATGAAAATCCTGACCAGTATATTCATTTGAGATGTGTTTGGCAGGTGTATTGTCGCGTGCGGCCACTGGGTGCAGAAGATGTGGAGTGCTGTATTGAGGTTATAAGCAACACCACCATTCAGTTACATGCCCCTGATGGGCTCAAAGCCAACAGAAATGGTGAATTCAAAGAGGTGAGTGCCTCTGCTCTCATTTAGCCAATTAGGATTATTTAAAACAAGATTTTCTTCTTTGTCATGCCTCTCCAATACGGTTTGAGTTTTTCTTCTATGCAACACAAAGGTGAATTTTGTAGTAGTTGCACTTTTCTATGTAATGAAAGTTTAAGAGTATTAGTTGGGTTGTCAGTGGTCAACTGACAACTGATCTTTTCAATTAACTGCTTAATCCAATTTGCAAAACTGTGTTGTATCATTTTGTGATCTTGGGAAAGGTCAAGTTCTAGAACAACATGAAAACAAAACCATTCTTTTGAAGCTTATGCAGGGCTTATGTGGGTCTTTGGCAATTGAGAATTTGCCCTTTCACAAATTAAGGCCTTAAATAGGTCTTGGAACAGAAAGTCATAAATTCATAAAATTGTGGCATTACAAATATCCAAATAACCTTAAATCAAGTTACATTTACGTGAGATGCAAAATAAATACATCAAGCCTTGTTTTCTTAAAAAAATATAAAAAAATAAAAGGGCGAAAAGGAAAAAAAAGTACATTAAGAGATTTTAAAGGGATAGTTCACCCAAAAATAAAAATTCTGTCATTAATTCCTCACCCTCATGTCATTCCAATCCAAACATGTAAGACCTTCGGTCATCTTCAGAGCAGAAATTAAGATATTTTTGATGAAATCTGAGAGCTTTCTTACCCTGCATAGATGGCAATGCAATGCAATCGGAAACGTAGTAAGAACTTTGGTAAAATTGTCCGTGACATCAGTGGTTCAACCAGAATTTTATGAAGCTACGAGAATACTTTTTGTGCACCAAGAAAACAAAAATAACAACTTACACATTTCTTCTCCTTTATGTCACTCTAGGGCGCCATTATGGAGAGTACCACGACGCATTGCGTTGTTTACATGCGGAGGTACTCTTTATAATAGCGGAAGATGTGATTTTGGAGGAGGAGAATTGTTGAATAAAGTCATTATTTTGCATCTCATATGGACTGTTTTACCGATGTCCTTACTACGTGTCTGGGAACATTTCAGTTGATTTGCTGTCTATGCAGGGTCAGAAAGCTCTCAGATTTAATAAAAAAATCTTAATTTATTTTCCATAGATGAACAAAAGTCTTAAGGGTTTGGAACGACATGAGGGTGAGTAATTAATGGCAGAATTTAGATTTTTGGGTGGAGTATCACTTTAAGCAAATTTCTGTTAATGGGGTATAAAATCTCTTTAAGTGTGTTTTTCTGAACCCGCTGGCAGGTATTTGTTCTTGTTTTAATCAAACTCACAATTTCTCAGAAAACAAGGCATCTTATGTCATTTTGCTTAAGTAAATCTTTAAACATTTGTACTGGAAAACAGACAAAAATACTGAGGAAAAACATAACTTTTTTGCAGATAAAGTAAAAGTTATGGTTATTTCCATATTGTAGTGGTTGGGAACAGAGGTATTCAATCCCTAGATGCTCCCTAGATGTTTGTTTAAATATTGGTGTATTATGATCCCTTTAATTTAATCCTTAAACTTTTTTTTTTTTTTGTCCAAGTCTTAAAATTTACTATCATAAAATGTGCAGAGTAGTTGGAAACCAGTTAGGCTTTGGAGTACTGAAATTAACTATAATTTCTTTTAGACACAATATTCCTTCAAAAAAGTGTTTGGAATTAAAACGACACAGGGGGAATTATTTGAAGATGTTGCCAAACCTCTAGTAGAAGACATCATTCACTGTAAAAATGGTAAATATACTTTTCTGTACACGTTGTTGTTTATTATTATTATTATTATTTAAAAACAACCCGATTGACTGCAGTTTTCTTCTTAAACTAGGTCTGTTGTTCACCTATGGTGTCACTGGCAGTGGTAAAACTTATACAATGACTGGCTCACCTGGTCAAGGTGGGCTGCTTCCGCGTTCACTCGACATGATCTTCAATAGCATCGGACCCTACCAGGCCAAGAGATATGTAAGCAAATTCATTAAGTACATTTATTCTATTATGTAAACTTTCCCATCCTTGAGCTATCTTGATCTTTCACTCATCAGGTTTTCAAGCCTGATGATAAAAATGGCATGGAGGTGCAGAATCAGGTGGATGCGCTCTTGGACCGACAGAAGCGAGACAGCCAGACAACTGTACCGAAGACCCCAACAACAAGGTTAAAGTAATTAAAATTACAAAGTGCCTAATCTGTTTTAAATTTAAATATAGTGAGTTTTTATATGCTGTTCTTGTTTTGTAGGCGAATTGACCCTGAGTTTGCTGACATGATCAGCCCAGAGGAGGCTTGTAAGGCAGATGGAGTGGATGAAGACAGCAGCTACAGTGTCTTTGTCTCCTACATTGAGATTTACAACAACTACATCTATGATCTTTTGGAAGAGACTCCCATTGACCTAATAAAACCCAAGTAAGTTGGCTAAGTTTACTGTTTTACTGTGTTTTTGATCCAATAAACGCAGCATAAGAGCCTTCTTTCAAAAACCATTTTCAAAAAACTGTATCGACTCCGAACCATTAGTCTATGTAAAAATCTATTCTACTTTTAATTGGGTGTATCAGTAGTACCAATTTGTGGGTAACCAATACTTTAAAAAAAAAAA